ATATATATATATATTACCGCAGTACCTATTACTATTAATAGGAAATGTGGTATTTGTTGTCTAATATGCTAATATACACTGGCGAGCAAAAAATTTTGGTCAACCTATGAAAGGCATTTTGTCCTTCTTGTGCGTTTTGTTGTTCCTATTGTTCTTAATAGAGCTAACATATTTTGAACAGAACATATTTTGATAAAGAATTTAGCCATCTTCGGATAAAATGTGAATCTTTGTGCGCAGCTCAGCTGAATAGAAACATTTTTTTTTAATGTTTAATTTTTGAGTCATGTAAGAACAATTCGACAATAATTTCTTAATTGATTGTTTATTTTTAAGCTATTTTAAAAAATCAACAATTTTAATAAATAAAAAAATACCTCGACTTACTGTTTTCAAAATGTTATTCAAACATTTTTGGAACAGTAAAAATGTTATAGAATATCTTATAATGAATTTACATTTTTCAAAAACTCAACCTTAATATGAAACTTTTTTTCTCTTTAAAACTTCTTATTTTGTAATTTATTTGTAAAAGAATGTCTTCAAAAGGCAAATACTATAAAAAGGATCATGGCAGAAAAATTGTTATAATGTTGAAAACATATTGCTGATGAAATAAATTTCTAATAAAGTGATTGCAACAGTAATATGAGCTGTTGGCGCTGTCTGTTTGGAATGATTAGAAAGCAATTTGAGAAACCCCCAAGTTATATTTTATCTCATTAAAGGAAGTGCGATATTAATTTTACAAAAGAACTAAAATAATTGAAAAGAAAACAGTATTAAAAAAGAGAAGAAGATTAAAATGGTAAAAAAAAATTTCTTCACGATCCAATGATATTTTAATCATTTATTAATTTAAATGACAATAAGAAACTATGTTTGAGTAAACGAGTTAAGTAAATGGGTTCTACTAATGATGAAATTCGTAACCTTATAATCATGAATCTGAGCCAGAAAACAAGGGAAATCTTATTAAAACAAGCCAAGATAAAACATGTCACGTTTAGTACAACGGCAAAAGGGTTCTAACCTCTGATCCACCTGGAAGACTTTGGGTGAAATATTCATTGTGAACGGCGCTTCCAAACTGTTTCGCTTTGATTCTTTATGTTTGCCTCATAAGGTGATTTCCGAAGTAAGGTAAGGGTTTCAACCGGTTCAATTACGTAGCAAGCTCTGCTTTGTTTATGTTCGAGAAAGTTGTTGTTGTTGTAGTTCATTTACGTCGCACTAGAGCTGCACAATGGGCTATTGGCGACGGTCTGGGAAACATCCCTGAGGATGATCCGAAGACATGCCATCACAATTTTGATCCTCTGCAGAGGGGATGGCATTATGCTTTGACTTTATGATCGGTTAACAGTTAAATAGCTATGTCACAAAATGAAAATTTGACTAGTTGTCTATTACCCCGTATGTGTGCTAGAAAGAGCCACGAAAACCTCCAACGGCTAATGACCATCTAGTTCATTTTCTGACGTAGTTATGTTAACTTTTAACTGAACTTAATGCCGAAACGTAAATATTTTCCTCATATTACTGCTTCATCATTTCTCTGAATCTAAACAAAAACCGTCTCTGTAGTATACGAAGAGGTTTTCTCTTTCTCAAACGTACACAAAAGAGGTTATTACATAATAGAACCGGTTAAACTTCTTTTCTTTCTCTGGAGATCACCGTACTTAGGCAAACATAAACATTTAAAACAAAACAGTTAAAAGACTCCGCCCTATTCGCGTTGTGTATTCTGATACAATATCCACCTAAGATCGGCATAGCCTGGTTGGTAGGGCAATGGGCCTATGTCCGAAAGGTCGCGAATTCGATCCCCGCTGACCGAAGACTCCCCGTGTAGTAAATTGTGACTGGTACACGTTAAATCTGTTGGGTCACGAAGTTCTCCATGTTCCCATAACAAATCATACCTCAGGGAGTACTGAATTGGAGGTTTATTGTTTCCTGGTTCCGGTCAAAATTGCGATCTGTGGATGAATGCATGGATATATGAAAGTGTCCGCCCTATACGTGTGACCTGCTGTGACACGTGTGTGGCAGAAGTTGTATTCTTGGCCATAGATGGCGCCACTGAAAAACAAGAAACGCACCCTCTGCCTTAAATTCGCTCGGTTTCACCAAGCAGGCTTGCTGGCGTTGGCAAGTGGCATTAGGAACAAAAACATATCCATCTAATATTAGGGATATAATAGCGCTGCGTCGGGACGAACCGGTGGATGCATGCAGTTTGAAAGTAATCTTTAGTACATATTATGCGCGTTTCATATTTTTTCTGTTTGCACTGTGTGAATAAAAGTCAAGAAAATGTTTTTAATTCGTTGTATTTTTTTTTATTTTTAAAATAGGTTGAAGATGAAATATTGGCCGTTAATCTGGTGGACGTTCGTCATGTAAGCTTAGATGATGTTGTCATCATTATGTCTATTCCTCGCCGTTTAGTGTTAACCATTCGGTCACGAATAAGTGATAGAATGACTACTGCACGACCAGCAATAGACAAAGTGCGACCACCAGTAGTTGTAGTAAAAAAAGAGTTTCTCGAAGAAGCTAATGATGATTATCCTGGAAATAATGATTGGGTACGAGGTCCACCTGGAAGGACGCAAGTTCTGTTGGAGCAACATCATCCTGCAGCTAATCAAAGACCCGATGTAAGTACAATCTTCACGCTTTTCTGCTCTCTTCAAATTTACTCTTTTTACAAAATCCAGACTATAAAAACGGTCAATTTGTTATTTACTGAGAAATATGTGTTTCACTAACGCTTACATTATCATCTAAATTTATGTTCCTTTTATAAGAGTTGCTTTAAATATTAAAGTGCAGTTTTTATAGTTATATTATAGTTTGTAAGTATTGAGTGTGGTGAGCTTCTATGGCTGAGCGGCCATTTCGTCAAACGCTCTGTAGCGTGGAGGTAGAGGGTTCATATCCCGCCATGCATTGTTGTGGAGCAAATAATAATTAAATGATAAGTAATGATAATCCTGTGATGTTATTTAATTTTATTTCGTAGAATAAAATTTTTCTCTTCTCTTTATCGGTTTCTATTCATTCCATCTCTGTCCATCTTGTTTCTCATCATTTCGGTCCCGCAGTGGACTGATCGTTAAGACACGGTTCCCAGCAGATCACCGAAGTCACTTGGATCAGCCTGCGTAGGGACCGAGGGTGTGCGGTATTGGTCCTCGTTAAACTCTTCTACCGTAAAGTGCTCGACTTCTCGAGCAGGTCGTCGGGCTACCGAAGCGGGGGTGCCATCCCCTCAGCAGAAGATCAAAATTGTGAAGGCATGTCTTCGGATCATCCTCAGGGATGCTTCCCAGACCGTCGCCAATAGCCCATTGTGCAGCTCTAGTGCGACGTAAATGTACAACAACAACAACTTCTCGTCATTTCGTGTCACAGCATCTTTCTTCTCTAGCATTCCGACTATGAATTGTATGGTGATTTACTCTTGTCTAGTTGTCTTCTATCACCCCTAACGTATGCACCATGAGTTTTAGGACATTCTCCATATAACGCCAAAATAGCACTAATAGTGTTTTAAAAAGAAACAAATTAATTTTTGTAGCAACATTTCTGCTTTATTCCCATATTTTAACTTTAATATGTTTTAAAATTCGAATAATAAAATTCTTATTAGTAGCATTGTAAAAAAAAAAAAATCTTTTACTTTAGGTTGCTCCATACTATTACAATGTACAAGGTCCCCCGAAATCAAAAGAAGAAGCTAGAATGATGTGGGATGAACAAAGAGGCTCAGTACTTACCAGACAACCGAAACCTCAACCTAGTTTCCCAACAACATTACAGTCATTAGCAGAACAAGTTGGAACTCATAACGTAGGTTTATTAAATATAACGAATTTGGATTTGTTTATTTAGATTTTATTTATCTTCGATTTAAAAAATTTCACTATTGTTTTATTTTAGTCGACTTAAAAATGTCTTTTATTACCGTTAAAATGAAATTAAAATTTTTGATTTCTAATTTAAACGCCTTGTCTTTAGTTCTCAGCAATTTTGGGAATGATATTTTTCAGCGTATTAGATATTCTTGTACGGTATTGAGTCAGTGGATAAACTAGCATGGTTGATCTTTTGCATGTTTTTTATCCAAACTAATGAAATTGAAAGTGCTTTCATTCCAAAGTGTAGTTTTACCAAAAAAATGCCATTTTTTAAGCATTGTAGAATTGCTGCCTCTTGCTTTATTTGAATGAGTATAATGCTAAAGAAGAAAAACAGAATCGCTCTAAGTAATTTTTGATCTAATGATAGGATTTTCACGTAGAAGGGCTCATTCTTCAGTTCGATGGGTGGGACTTCAGATATGCTAATTAGTAAGAACAGACGATATTTAAAGTTACGAAATCGGACTCAGAAGGACAATATTTCTCAGATTGCGAATTGATATTTTGAGGGTAAAGAATCCATATCCGACTGAAAACAGATATGTTCTTTCAGTACGTACGTTCTTCAGTGCGTTCTTTCAGTATGTACGTTTCTTTTTTATTGCGTGCAAAGATTTTTCAATTCATTTAAAAAGTTCTCGAGATTGGCGAAGTGCGAAAAAAAATTCACATTAAGGGGTCCAAACTTTGGACGACTCTCTTGACCTAACTACTGTGACCCATATCTCCCAGATTGCGGCTATGCTCCATATTTTGGGGGTCAGAAATGGGGGTCCAAATTCATCAAAAAAAAATTACGTTTATTCAAAGAGAGTTCGTTCTTGTGTCTAATTTCAAACTTAAAATATCGCATGCACTAACTAATTAGCATATTTGCGATTACCCCTCTGAACTATTAAAATAGTCCAAATACGTGAAAAGCCATCAGATCAAAAGCTATTCAGGGTGTTTCGTTTATTTTTTGCTCACTATACAACTATTAAATAAAATATAAATGTAAACAAAACCTTATTAATATTGCAGGTTCACACATTTCATGCAGAACCAAGTGATCCCCGTCGATTATTCTTTCCACCCCATCAGCAACAAATCCATCCCCGAAGTGAGCGCAGTTTGCCTGATAGATATCGATATCTAGATGACCCGAATTTAAAAACCAGGCTTTTGCGAACAGAAAGTGAGCAACGAATTTCAACTTTAGGATCTGATTCCTTTGATCGATATTATTCTCTTGGAAGACCTCTTAGGCGATCTGGATCTGGACTTTCTGTAACTATGCAAAGAAGAGGCAGACCTAGAAGGTATAATAGAAAATTTTAATATTTTTATAGTATTTTAGAAAATTACATACTTAACTTTCTTAAAATAGCCGACCAGCCTGGGTAGGGGTCAGGAAACTGGTCTTGCATCAGAAAGGTTATAGGTTCAAATCCCGGGCAAAGCATGGATATTCTTTCATTCACTGTACATCTGTCCTTACAGCGGGAGCAACGTTGGCACACCTAATATGGTGCCCATGGAAAAGAGGCCAACAAATCTGCCCTTCAGATTCCCCCGACGAGCATTGGAAAAAAAACTTCATAAACAACATACTTATTTAAAAACTTTATTTCGATCTGAAAGGTGGAAATAAAAATAAATAAAATTAAAATGAAATAAAAATCCATCGAAATGAGTAAAATATAAAAAATACCTTTTTTCAATTTAAAACTCAACTTCTATCATAACGTGTGTCCATTTTTTTCCATCTAAAATCATAATCTTAAAAGCAGAAATACCCATAATGCACCATGCTTTTTTTATTCGCGAAATCGATGGTTCCCTTTAATAAGGATTCGATTCAACGTTGGTTTGTAATATCTGTATCTTGAGTCACAAATACGAATAAGGTTTAATTGAACAAAATTGTTGGATATTGGACAATATCTATTTTTGTTTTGTTGGAAAAGCAGAGTTAAGAAAATGAATTATATTTCACTCATTTTTGAACTACGAGTACTGTAGTAAATACATAGATGATATTGCTATTGAAAAAAAGGAAAAAAAGAAAGAAAAACGATAGTAAGGTGAGAAAAAAGATATTTTATTGATACAATTTAGTTCTTCACAAAATGTTGGCATAGCTAGAAAAAATTAATTCACTTATACCAAAGTCAGAATTTTTCAGATATATTTTGTTTAGTAATCTCGCGCTGGATTAAATATCTCGTGAATAAACTGAAAAAATTCTGAAAAATTTTTTAATGAAAATTTTTTGTTTTGTTTGAAAAAAATTTAAAAAATATCCTGAAACTTTGAGACTTTATTATAAGTGTTAAAAAACACATCAAATTCTTAAATCGCATGTGATTTTAATAAAAAGTATTTGCTAAATATAATATTGCGTACTTATTTAACCTTCTGAGACCCAGAGCAATCAATATGTTGGACAACATTCGGTTTAATCTCAGACCTTAAAAATAATATTTAATGACTTTCTCTGTTTGTATGCCTTTAGTGTTCTATGTAAAAATAAAATTGGCTTTACTGTCGTTAATTAAAATTTTTAATAGCAATGAAAAATTATAAGAAAGGTAAGGAATTTGATTCAAGTAACATTTTGGACAGTTAAAGGACAAATAAATCTCTTATCATTTGAGTCTAGTGGATTTTGTTCCATCACCAAAGTTTTAAAAAGACGCAATATGAAAGTATTCTAAAATATGCAAAAAAAATTAAAATTGAAATTTAGAAATGCTTGCGTGATTAAAAATAGCTAAAATAGTTAGTTCAGTTTAATTAATTGAATTTTTTTAAATATTTTATTGCAATTTTGAGTTGACTCTCTTTTAAGCTACATATTTCTCAATAAAAATCGCATTTTTCGCCATAATTTAAAGCTAGAAACTGAGAGAGAGATTTTGGAACAGAATATATATTGAATATAAACTAATTGCTTAATGTAAATTAATTGCTAAATGTAAATTAATTGCTGAATGTAAATTAATTGCTAAATATAAATTAATTCCCGAATATAAATTAATTGCTAAACATAAATCAGTTGCTGAATATAAATTAGTTGCTGGATATAAATTAATCTGAATATAAATTAATTACTGAATATAAATTAATTGCTAAATATTCGTTAATTGCTAAGTATAAATTAATTGTTGAATATAAATTAATTGCTAAATATAAATTAATTGAGTAACATATAATTAAACAGACTTTAGACTTCTTTTCTTGACAATACGAAAAAATATATTCGAGTCGTACTTAAAAAGACTTGATTATCAACCAGAAGTTTGATAGAGGGTGTTTCAATAATCGAGAAAGATTTTAATTTCGGGCTATTGCTGCACTAAAATATTGCCTAAAAAAAGTGACGCAGTTTTGACAGCTTATGATTACTAAGAATAATGTGTTACCCGAAAAAATGACGCGTTTTCTTGTTGAGAAAATTCCTGATTAAATAATTTTTCCTTTTGGTGATCAGAATTAGCAGCCCAGATGATGTCATTTATAGTTGTAGAATCTCAGTTTTTTAGGTCAATAAGCCCTTGAAAAACCAGCAGTTTAAAAGAAGAAAATAAGTTCTGTATCAACGAAATTCAGCTATATTTAGGCAAAATGGTCATTGAAAATTTTGTCATGCGTTTGCGTATGTGCCTGGAAAACCGCGGAGGCAATTTACTCCACATGCAATTCAATATATAATCTATACTGCATATTTCTGATAAATCAATAAAAAATCATTTTTAATTTTTTGTTAAAAATCTGTTAAATACAAAAATTATTTCGTGCAGGAATTTTACTACAGAGTATATGTTACCTTTTATGGTATTTCAGAGGAAGGAATACTTAAAAATAATTTATCTCAAGTTTATGTCAAAAATTAATTCCTGTTTCGCATTTTGAGAAATGTTTTTAAAAAGGGATCACAAAATTTATGTTGGTGCGGGGTAACAAAAGGGGGATAATTTATCCATGAATCTTCACTTCTAATTAGCGTGGACTGTAATATCGCTGGTAAGACCTAAACATAGTAATTTTTCTAAATCTGGTAAATGCTAGCATTGGAATACGACAAGAAAAAGAGCACCACCACAACCTTTTAGCAGCTTGTTTATTGCGACTCTGACTGTTACAAAACGTTATTGTAGATGGCGCTGGAGTAAAGATACAACAAGGGCATTAATGAGTTAACATAGTATTCTGGCCAAATTCACCAAAACTATAAAATTCACCAAAACTATAAAATTCACCTAAACTTATTGGTGGTGGCGTGATTTATTGTTATAGAAAGAATTGGATTAACCATAGAGTTAATCCAAGAAAATTATTTATTAACTCTTCGTTTAATCTAATTCTTCAATCCAAATCCGTTTAATCCAAATCCAAAATTAAGCTAGATTTATGCAAATGGTTTGCTAACGCAGACATTGAAAAATTGTTATAGAGAGAACTTAATTGATATGCGTATGAAAATGGGATATTTTTAGTATGTTGGCCAATGCAGTTGTAACTGTGAAAGTTGTATATTGTAAAGCTATTACAACTGCATAAACTTTCGCGATATCAGATGAATTGTGAGCAAAAGAAAAATTGTCAAAGTAGGAAAAAAATCGAATAAGCTCCTATTCCCCTATTGGAAAAAAATTCGAAATACCAGTATTAAAAACTAGTTAAAATGATACAAGATCCAGTATAAGCACACTGGAAATTTAAAACCTAGTATGAAATCATACCGGAAACTTTAAAGCCTGGAATGACACCTTACTGCAAACTTTGATACCTCCTTTTTAATAAATTGGAAAGTTTGAAACCAGTATGAAATCGTATGAGAAATTTTAATATCAATTTTCAAGCATATTGGAAATTTTGAAGCCAGTTATCCATACTGGAAATTTTGAAGTAGTTTTAAAATAAAGAAGGGAGCATTTAAGCAGTATATTCTACTTTAATAAGTAAACTCTCTGCCGGTAATCAAACATGGTTCAATGTGTTCAAACTCGCTTTCCTCATTAATAAATCATTATTATTTCATAACTTTTTGTTTTTATTTTTTCTTCGTTAGATATTAATTTTCGATAATTAATTTCTTAGATTTTGATTAGGATTCTAAAATATATATCAAGTACGGTGATAACATACAATTAATAATATATATATATTAATTTAAAAAAATACAAATTTGTTAGTATTGGATTTACTGATAATTTTAGAGCATTCATAGTGCTTTAACATTGTGCACTTAGTTTTGGTTAAAAGAAAAATCTTCATTTTTAAAAAAATATTATCAGGATTTTCATAAATTAACTCAGAAATACGGTAACTAAAAAATGTTATTTTTTCCTTACCCCAAATACATCAAAATGAAGAAAACAATACCACAAAACATTTAAAACCACATCATAAACCAAAAGGCTTTTGTTTCATTTCCTTCCCTGCTTCATATAAGTGAAGAAAAAAGTAACAAAAAACTTTTTTATTAACTAAATAATAAGATTAAATTAATAGTTTAAAGCTTCCTTGCGTGTGACATTTTATCTTATTCAAAGTGTGTAAAATCGATTACGAGTAATTTATCTGTTTGTAATGAGTTATGGAACTTCTAAATATCCTTTTAAAACGACTAAACAGGCAGATTTAATAAAAGTTTTGGCGTCGAGCCAAAATTCTCTGTTAAAAGAAATCGATTTTTTAGAATGCGAATAAAGCACGTGATAAATTTCCATTTTTAATCTTTTCAGATCTTTCAGAAACGAAAGCAATATAACTATCAAAACAATACCATTCCAAATGGAAAATGAAGAAAGGCTCTTTTTTTTCTTTTTACAAATTCCAATAAATGTCGAAAACTCCTTATCTCGTATTTTATTTAAACTTCGACATTTGCTGAAGGAAAATATCTAAGCTATAGTGCATAGTTAACTTTGACATTTCAAGTTACAGAAAATCAAAATTTACGAAACAATTTTTCTAAAGTTAACAATCATTGTAAAAATTGGAAACGAAGCGAAAATTAAATGTCGTGTTTTAATGAAAAAAATAATATGAAAAATAAAAATATGAATATTTATTAGCGTTGTAAAAAATTAGTACTTATTAAATAAAAACAGACGTGTCGTAAATAAAAAAATACGTTGTAAATAAAATGAAAATAGACTTGCTGCAAATAAAAATAGGATGTTGTAAGTAAAAATAAGGCGTTGTAAATTAAAATAAACGCGTCGTAAATTAAAATAGACGCGTTGTAAATAATCTATGGTAAATAAAAGAGGTATGTTGTATATTAAATTAGATGTTATGTAAATAAAAA